CAGTGAGTAGAATGTAGTGTTAATCTATTACCAGTAGCTTTAAAGTCCATTTAAACTAGGGGTGGCCCGGGCCCAGGCGGCCCAACACAAGCAGACCCCAGACCAGTACTCTTTGGTACCTAGCTTTCCAGTACCTAGGCGTGGACCCGGTTCGGGCCGCCCGGCCCGGGACCGGCCCGGCCCGTCACTGTGCGGGCCCGGAACCGGCCCGGTTCTCGGGTCCGGGTCCGGTTCGGGCAGAGACCCGGTCGGGTTAGCGGGACCGGGCTCGGGTCCTGGTTTTGGAGGCCCGGCCCGGCCGGGTCGGGCCCGGGCCTAACGGTCCACTTTTTTAAAAAAAAAAAATTTTTTTTTTTTGGATTGTTTTGGCTCAAACGGCTACCCCAAACGGCTATATAGCCGTTGGGTGTACCAGGGGGGGTCAGGGGGGTTTGGGTGGGGGGTGGGGTGGGGGGTTGGGGTGGGGGGTGGGGGTTAAAAAAAAAAACCTATAAATACTCCTAATTTTAAACATTTTTTCACACCTCTTCTCCAACTCTTCTAAATCCTACTCTCTACTCATCTCCATTCTCCAATTCTCCATATTCATCTTCTCTAATTCTCTTATTCTCCTTTATATTTTATTTTACTATTTAATACTTATACAATTATTATATCTACTTATATATTAATTATCTACTTATATATATTATTATCTACATATACTATATTGCTTATATTTCTTATCTACTTAATTTCTACTTATATCTCTTAATACATACATACATACTATATCTACTTAATATATACTTTATATAATAAAGTATTAAATATACTTTATAAACTATTATTATATACTTAATACATAATAATATCTACTTCTCTACTTATATTTTATATATACTTATTTTCCAATCTCCAATTCTCCATTATACTCTAATATTTAATTCTTATACAATTATTATATCCACTTAATACATACATTCTACATCTACTTAATATATATTTATATATTAAAGTATAAAATATAAGTGTATTACTCATCGTATAGTATAGTATACTTATATATTATATAATATAAACATTATATTATATATTACTTACTATAACTAGTATTATACTAGTTAATTAGTTAATTAGCATTCTTGTTACATTTTTCATTATACTAGTTAATTAGTTCATTACCATTATTGTAACATTTTTCATTATACTAGTTAATTACTTAATTAGCATTCTTGTTACATTTTTCATTATACTAGTTAATTAGTTCAATACCATTCTTGTTACATTTTTCATTATACTAGTTATTTAGTTCAATACTTCAATACCATTCTTGTTACATTTTTCATTATACTAATTAAAATACTTCACATTTTATTTAACTAGTTGTTAGTTTGTTACATTTGTCACTATACTAGTTAACTACTTAATTAGCATTGTTGTTACATTTTTACTTGTACTAGTTATTTACTTCAAAAGTTGCTATAATTTTAATTGTAGAGACACACATTAATTCTACTTTGCAAAAAATTAGTTTGAAGTATTAATTAAAATAGTTTTAATTAGTTGCATTAGTTTTGTATCCATTATTATATTTGTTGTGAATTAATATTTGTTACATTTTTTAGATGGAAGGTGGTAGATATTCGGTTGATTTGGGTAACCTCCAACGCAATCGAAGAAACGAGATTGGGAGGAAGAAATCCCGCAAAGGTAAAGAACTTGCCGGGTCTTCATCTCAAAGCCGAGATGATTTTGAAACGGGTTACCAAAGGCGAGATGGAGATGCGATGTCCGAAGAACAACTCCAACAAGAATTGGCCCGACATAATAACCGCTTTCTACAACAACAACAAATGCCGACGACCATTGACGAAGAGGAGCTTGAGGATGAAGATGCGGAGGAATTGGAACCGGAGACGGCCGAGGAGGAGGGTGCCGGCAGCCACGACGCCGACGCGCCTGCCTCATCCCAAACCGCCACCGGTAATAAAAAAAGTAAGTCTGAATTAATGCAAAATAATTTTGATAAATGGAAGGACCCACAAACTGGCTATTGGCACGCAACTTGCAAGTGGTGCAACAACAATTATAGTTTGGGAACCTCCGGCGGATACGGATCCGCCGCAAGGCATCTTAAGTCAAAGCACCCCGTGGAGTACGCAAAATTAGGCGGCGGAACGGGGAAGCAAACTCAAATATCGAGGTTTGCGAATTCTCAACCTTTTGGTAATTTCGCCTACAATGATGCACAAAATTTGACTGGTATGGCTAACTTAATTTGTGAAGAAAATTTGCCTTATTTGTTTTCTGAAAGTCTTGCTTTAAGAGATTATGCACAAGGTAGTTTAAATCCTCAATTTAGAAATTATAGTCGCAAAACTGTTAAGAAAGAAATAATAAGGCTTTATAATGCGGAAAAGGAAAGGTTACAAAATTTTTTTGCAAACTTTGATGGGCGTGTTACTATTTGTTCTGACATATGGGAGGATGATTTTCATCATTTATATTATTTGGGTCTGACTGCACATTATATTGATGAGGATTGGAATATGCATAAACGTGTTCTTGCTTTTCGTGAATTTAATGATCGTCACACCGCTGAACATATTTATATTTTGATTGAGCGTATTTTAATTGAGTATAATTTGATTGATAAGGTGTTTGCTATTGGTTTCGATAATGCTACTAATAATACTGCTGCTATACCTAGATTGCGTGAGTTGTGTGGTGCCAATTCTTTGATGGGTAGATTTTTTCATCAACGGTGTGCATGTCATGTTATAAATTTATGTGTGCAAGACGGTTTAAAAGCGTTAGGAGATTCCATGGAGGTAATAAAGGGGGGGTTAGACGTATTTGGGGTAATGGTCAACTTAGATTAAAATGGCAAAGTTATTTGACTGAAAGAGGTGTGAGATATGTTGCTTTTCCTAAAGATTTGAGTATTCGTTGGAATAGTACTTATAAATTACTTAAAGTTGTTCTTAGATATAAAGAACATTTTCCTGCTTTTTTAAAAGAACATGATAACTATATTATAAACGCGGCTGAGATCGACACTTGCGAAAAAATTTGTAATGTTTTGATATATTTTTTTAATGCTACTGAAACTTTTAGTCATGTTTATAAACCTACCGCAAACCAATTTATTCCACAAGCTGTTAATCTCGCCGATGCTTTTAAAGAATTTCAAAATGCCGTTTTCGTTCATTATTTTTGTGATCATATGAAGGAAAAGTTTTTAAAATATTATGCGCATATTCCCCATATTTATGGTATTGCATTTATTCTCGATCCTCGTTATAGACTTGCTAATTTGGAAGATTGTTTCAACTTCTATTATCTTGCGTTTTTCGGTGAATTTCCAATGTATGAGGATAACCCCATAGATCCGAAAACGGAATACAACGAGGTTAGTACTTTATTTTATGCCTTATTTAATGAGTTTCGTGCACAATATAGCAACGCTCCCCCTCCCCCGTCACGAACATCTTCATCTAAAGGAAAATCGATTTTTAAATCTGCATTTGGCAATCTTATGAAAAAAACTAAAACAACTCACGTCACTGAACAAAGCGCATTGAATGAGATTACTTTGTATTTAACATATGAAGTTGATTTTGAAGAAAATGATGACTTTGACGTTCTAGACTGGTGGAAGTCAAAAGAAAGAACGTTCCCGATTTTAGCACGGATGGCTAAGCAAGTACTATCAATGCCGGTTTCAACAGTTGCGGTGGAACAAGAATTTAGTTCGGCCGGCAACGTCCTAACGGCATCTAGATCGAGATTGAGCGCGGAGTCTCTTGAGACGCTTATATGCTACCACGATTGGTTGAAGGCCGCACGTAGAACTCAAGAATTGAGCATCACCCCCTCCCAAGATTTTATGGATGACTCAACAACCGATGGTGGCTCTACCTATGCCGGAGATTCCGATTGATTAGTATTTTAGAATTTAGTACAAAATGTATTTTATACAATTGCTGCCCTTTTTCTTTTAATATGAACGCATTATTATTCATCATTGGATTCATTGCCCCTACCTCAGCTAACGCTCATCCACACATGATGTTCTTGTGTAAACTATAATTTTCATTTCCCTAAAAAAAACATAATTTTCATTTCCGCATTTCCTAAATTTATTAAATGTAGATATAAGAAATTAAGGCTTTAAATTTGTAGAGCTTTAAATACTCTGAACTGGAAAAAATCAGTGAGTAGAATGTAGTGTTAATCTATTACCAGTAGCTTTAAAGTCCATTTAAACTAGGGGTGGCCCGGGCCCAGGCGGCCCAACACAAGCAGACCCCAGACCAGTACTCTTTGGTACCTAGCTTTCCAGTACCGGTCTAGGCCAAAGGGCTTGAATTTAAAAAAATAAAAATGGGCGAATACAACCCAAGCCCGACTAGTCATGGACCCGGGCCGGGCCTAAGCCCGGTCGGGCCTCGGGTTTTTTTAAGGAGGTCCGGGACCGGCCCAAGTAGCCACCAAGTCCGGGCCGAGCCAGGCTGGGCCTCAGGTCAATTTTTTTTCCTTTTCCTAATTAACCACCCCCACCCCCACCCCCCACCCCAAATGGCCCAAAATATCCAGCCCAACCCGAAAAGATAAAAAAAATTGAAAAAAAAATTGAAAATAAAATAAAATAAAAGGCCCGGAACCAGGCCCGAACCAGCCGGGCCGGTTCGGCTTTTGGGTGACCCGAGCCCGCACCGGGAACCCCTTGGGCCGGGCCTACCCGGACCGATCACTGGCCGGGCCACCAGGCTAGGCCGGTCCCAGGCCAGTTCCGGGTCAGGCCACCCGGCCTGAGTCCAGGACTAGGCCTGACCATAGACCGGTACCGGACCAAACCAGGTAGTTACCAGTATACCACGCTATAAATACTAAGGGCCGAGCCCGGTCCCGCCCCTAATTTAAACTCACAAACCTTTATCCATATGTTCATACATCATGCTTTATCCAATACGAAGTATTTTTATTGACAATTAGTATTGAGCCCGTTTGATGCACTGGGTAATGTTGTTGTTATTGACATGGGATAGGCCCCTTGATAGTTTCTGAGGAAAAGTTTTAAATATATTTAGCCAAACTGGCTTACAAACTCAAATTATAGACTTTTAAGTTCATGCAAACACTCCCTTGGTCCAATGGAGCTGAATGTCAAAATTGATTTAAAAAAATGTAGAACCAAAGGGATCTCTGTTAAAGAGTTTTTGAGCTAAATTGACAGCTTTCATAGTACAAAATGAGAACCAACTTCGATAAAATAGTAAAACTGAGATGGCCAACTTCACACTAGTCTACATAACCCCTACAGTTTGGCCTGTTTTATTTCTACAAAATCATGAACCTGCTTATATCACATTCCACTGCTCAGTAATTTTCCAGAGCCCTGAGATGAAGAATGTGAGAAAAACATATCTTATACTGATACAGAATGCTCTTGCCTCCACTGTTAATGGTATCTTACTCCATCTTTGTCAACTACCTCACCAATACGGAAAGCATTGCATGAGTTGTCCTCTAAAATTTTAAGAGCCATGTCTGGGGTCACAACCAGGACCATCCCGATTCCCATGTTAAAAGTCCTCCTCATTTCAGCATCTTCAATTTTACCCGCCTTGACATCATAGATATTTAAAAATGCAGGATCAGATATTATGTACACAGACATGTTCATATGGCCGCTTTATGTATAATTTATTTTATTATCATTTTATGTTGGGCAGATCGGATTTCCTTAAGTCTGGCCTGTGAAATATGTTCAAGTGAACTAGTCCTAGCAGCGCAAAAAGATTCAAACTGAACAGGTAAGAATAACCTCACCTCTTGAATCCATTTAAATACAGGAGGAACTACCCAGGAATCATTATAGATAACAGCTCCCAAACCTTTAGGAAATATACGAGGTATATTATCTGTAAAACCACCTCCTGTGATGTGAGCTATCCCTTTAACTCCACCTTTATTGATAATCTCAAGTACCTTGAGCAACATTTATAAGGAAAATAAAAAATATCATCACCTTATCTCAAAACAAAGCATACTTATATACGAAGTTCAGCTATGATTATCACTAAGTGGTGCACATTGAAAACATTAATGCAGCAGCTAGTAAATTATAGTTTTACCTGCTTAACATAAATCACAGTTGGGGCCATTAAAGCTTCACCTAATGTAGTAGAGCTGCCGGGAAGTTGGTCGTCCAAAGAAAGGTTACTTTTCTTGAGCACCCTGGAAGCATATTCCATTTTCTTAGCGTAAGGCCTGTTTGGTTCAGGCCTTCAGGGATTTTGGAGCGGAGAGAAGGGGAAGATCCATATTTATTTTTAAAATAAATGATCAAAAAGAAAGTGAATAAAAAATTATTTGAATATATATGATTTAAGTAGTCATATAATTATGTGTGGTCTAAAACTACGGGTAAATTGGTAAATTAAAATCAATCATCACGCCCCCTTCCATCCATTCAAAACAGAGCACAAGATGCATAACTAGGGAAAAATAGCTAGAGCTCTAACCTTCTGACAAGGGAAAATCCATTTGAATGAACTCCACTAGATGGAAGACCAATGAGGACATCTCCAGCAACAATATTCTTCCCATCAATAACATCATTCTTTTTCACAATACCAACTGCAAAACCACTAAGATCATACTCCCCACTTGCATAGAAATCTGGCATTTCTGCGGTCTGAATCAATAATTTGATACATTCAACACAACCAGAAGTCAGAGTTAATATATAAATTTCACCACAACGTGCTAATAAAAGGCATTGCGAACATTAATTTATGTGTGGTCTTTAAAGCTAATACATTGATATGATATGATAGCTTAAAAATGTAACACACATACATATATATTTGTTTTGAGAGTTTAATGGCTACCTCTCCCCCCAATAGGGCACAATCAGACTGCTTGCAACCATCTACAATACCTTTTATCACCTAATGATAATAATAATAATAATAAAAAGTAAAGAGCAAATGAGCAGATAATATAATATACAAAACTCCAAGACCACTTAATATGTGAATTGTACACATATACCTTTTCTGCCATATCAACATCAAGGCGACTTGTTGCGAAGTAATCAAGAAAAAATAAAGGTTTAGCTCCAGAGGTGACAATATCATTAACACTCATTGCAACCTGATTCAAAAATGCCTCTTTAACTTCGGAGTGACACAAGCTTATGACTTACATCAAAAGTAACTATTTGTGATGTAAAATAAAAAGAAAACTTACCAGATCAATCCCTATAGTGTCATGGACTCCAGTTTCAAAAGCAAGTTTTAATTTCGTTCCCACTCCATCAGTACCAGCCACAAGGTAGGAATCACCTGATATAGTAATAATATTGTTAAACAACAGGGAATAGAAATACATCAAAAATCGGGTAATATTAGAATATATTTTGAAAGGACCATTGCACCACATAAAATATATTAAATAAAACAAGTCAAGTTAAAAATATTGACCGGGTAAGGATCATAGTAGCATGCATGAAACTTAAACATCAAATAGGATCAGGGAGGTTTAAAGTTTAAACTATTAAGCCTTGAGGTTTTTCCAAAACAAAAAGAACATGAGATGCACGTCACAACTTTAGCAACATTGAATCCAGTAAAACACATCACCAGCAAACTCTCAATTTACATCGTTATAAATTATCAAGCCTCTAGAGCTTGAACTAGTACACATACATAAGAATAAAAGTTGATGCCATAAGAGTCTACTCAGCTTGACAAAGATTTTAACTCTGTTTATATGGTTTAGTGTAGAATATTCTTTTCATATTTAGCAACAGCATATGTAGAATACTGATATAAAAAAACTCATTTAAATAGACCAATGAGTTCAAACCGCTCAAAGAAAAATACCTAAAGGAAAAAGGCCTCCAAAACCGCCAATTCCAGGTGCCATTTTGGCGATCCTCCTGACAAGTTCTGAGCCTGCATCAATGTCAACTCCAGCATCTTTATATGTAAGACTGCTAACCTTATTCTCTGTACTGCTAATGTGGCTGCTTCTATCGGGAGTTGTGGACATGATGTTGGTTTTCGTCTTGCTTTGAGGGTGCAGCTTTAAAGATGTTTGTGAACCAGCAATTAAAGAGCATCGAGATTCATGTACACATAAATAAGAGCTCCGAGTATGTAATTTTTGGCATGAGATGGTTGTTTTCATACTACACCCAGTTAACTCCAAATTAGCTAGATAAGATGTGGTCATTGAAAGAGGCAAAGCCAAAGCTTATGGGATCTCTATCTTCAACGCTGCGGGTAAATCTGCAAGTAAAGAAACAAATTATTATTACTTACTCCGCACATTATAAGAATCACAACAAAACTAACTCTTACTATATAATGTTTGTATGTCATTCTAACCACTATACAAGTTTAAGCATGACCAAAAAAGTTATTTTAGGTCTGTATTAAATAACTTTGACATGTTGATTTTTGCATTTTTTTTACATATTCTACTTTCACTATTTTAAACACTTATATTAATTTAATAAATTTTTAAAAATATTGTAAAATCCGTCTCATCATAAATTTTAAATTCTATTTTTTTTAATTGTTTTTACTAATAAAGAACACTAATGATTGAAGTTATGCATCGACAAAAGTGAATTTATATATGATATTAAAAAAAAGATAAACCAAATAAAAATTTAATAGGATAATAAAATAGAGGAAGACAATCCTAAATGTGAATGAATTTTCCTTAAAAAAATCAATATCAATCGAGAAAAGAAAAATACAAAAGTCCTAGGGGTGGAACAAAAAAGTGGTAGAATCACTAGAATGTTAGAGCTCAGGGGATCGGAGGATTGAGCCCAGGGTCAGGGATGGCTCAGGCCCACCCTTATCTCTTAAATTACTACGATAGTATATGTGTAATTCTATTCCTTGTGTCCAATTCGCTATTCAGAGATATCGATTAGTTATTAGTAAAATACGTCACTATAAAAAACACAACCCTTCATATTAATACACTCAAATATCATCATAAATTATAATGATTTATAATTTATATTAATATTATAAGTGCTACATTTTATATTAATATTAATCATTTAAGTCTTCAACCATGTTTTTTTTGTTATAAATCTCCAACCATATAATATATATTATTTTTAATATATATTATTCTATTATCCATCTATATAATACACGATTAATGTATAAAATATGGAATGTTTTTACGATTCTTAACTGAAAGTAATTGTTTAATATAATTCCTATGTGTGTATTATGACTCTCTTAATATATTAATTAGTCCCTCCTTCAATCAACTAATACAATATTGAAAAGTATACAGAAGTCATTGTTTAACAGTTCACACATGCAAGTATATTAAAAATACTACTCCGTACATATTAAATATCAGATATGTGTTGAGTGTATTGAAATAATGTAAAAAGATTAGTATTATTTAATGGAGTATTTTGAGTTTGCACTCTATTTTATTGTTCAAATTGGACTTTGCACCATTTATAAAAAAATCTTTGTTTTTACATCCCAAATTTGTAGGAAAAGACAAAAAATGCCCCTCTAATAACAATTATGATGCCCTTCAATATATTCCTTATTGAAGGGCATCTTTTCTTTTTACACAGGGTTGTGGTGCAGAAACAGAGATTTTTTAAAAGGAAATTCAAAATATAATTTGGACAATAAAATAGAATGCAAACTCAATTTACCCCTTATTTAGTTTAGTGGCTGTAAATAGAATTATCAATAAACAAACTGTGTAGATCATTATAAATTTGTGATTCTATTTTAGCGTACTAATATGGAGAGTCAAATTGTATTTTAATGATGTATTTTTATTAATTTTATTAATGAATAATTTAATAGGCCCACCCACAAATTTAAAAAAAAATGTTAGGGCAGCCCATGCTATTACTCCCATTAGTCCATAGGTCTGTTCATCCACACTCTCCTGTCCTTCCAGCCAAGCCCACAATTAGACCATGGCCCAAAATCTCAATCTCAGGGGAAGAGGCAGCACCGCAGTAGACCAGCAGTCCGCAATAGAGTCCGCAGCGTTCCGTTAAAGCAAATCCCAACCTAAGCACAACACTTGGACGGCGCACGGCGGTTCAGGCGCTCATCACTTGGACAGGTGGACGCCGCACGGCGGTTTGCCGGTTTGGACTGCTTCACTGCTTAGTTTCTGGCTTTCTGCAATTCTGCTCTTCGGTGGTAAACTGGGACTCTGGAGCTGCGTCTTGTGGAACTACCCAACGGGTAAGTTACTAAGCTAATTAAGATTTTTAATTTTAATTACAGCCTTGTTTAGACTTTCGTATTACAGTATTGTTTAATTTTAAGTTTTAGTTTTATTGTGTTTTTAATTCAATTTAAAGACTAAATTGAAGCCTTGTTTAGTATGAATTTGATGGTTATTTATAAAGTTATAACCATCATTTATAGTAGTATGAATATACTTGTGATTTGTAATTATTAATTTTTTTTGGCAAAGCTTCCTAACCCATTATAGTATCTGTTCTATGTTAAAGAATAATTTTTTTTACATGTAATAAAACTAGTACTACATATAATTAATCCAGTGTTAGTGCATAACATGTGAAAGATAACTACAAAGCTGAAATTCTCACATACAACTATATAGAAGGAGTTCAAAATTTCCAGGAAAATAAATAAATTATACTACGCATTAAATAAATATTAGTGATTTATTAGTTTTTAATCTACTCCAGCAACTTCTATAAAAACAGCAATATATTAGCTACTTAATTCACAGGTTAATTGGAGTATCATTGTATATTAGTTTTGAGATTTTGTTAGATATTTTTCAATTATAAATTAGTATACATAAATAAAATTTTCAGATTTTAGATTTTATTTAAGTTCTTGCTAGTTCATGAAGAATAAATAGAACTAAACATTTTAAAAAAACTATGAAGTTTAATACTAATATATAAAAAGTATTAAAGTATTGAAATTGATAAAAATGTGTAATTTTGGAAAAACGAAACAAAACAGAAAAGCATAATTATTGAAAAAGTTTGAATCTTTTTTTGATAAAAATTAAAGAATACGGTAGATTTGTGAATTTGATGATAGTTTGGGATATAATAAGCTAATAATTCTATTTTTTCGGAATTTATATTTTTTGAATTTTTTAAAATCATATAAGGGTGTGTTTATTGCTTAGACTTTGTAGTAGTTGTTTTTTGGGCGTTGTATGGTAAGAGTAGTGTAAGACTTGTAAAATTCTAGTGTTCTTCAGAGTGGTGCTCTGGCATAGCTTTGCTACTATTTAGGGAAGTTTATGATTTCATAGCTAGGCACATGGCTGAAGAAGTAGCTGTGTGTATGGGATAAAGAAATAAAATAGGCTGAAAAATAAAAAACACACACTGCATTGATTAGTGATTAGAACTATGAGAGTATTTCGAGATTGAAGAAATGTTTTCCAAATTTATTAGTATTGGTATGGTATTGCCTTACCAAACCAAACCAAAAGGGTATGGTACCAAACTATTCCAACCCAAAAACCAGACCATACCGAACCGTAGTTCGAAACCTCATGGTACGGGTTATGGTAATTTGTTGTACTGCTCTGGACTGTGGTCATACCAGCTGCTTGTAATCACATCGAGTGGGGCTTTTTTTTACATTGTTATTCATATTTTTTGTGATTTTTTTCTCTACCTAATATGTATTATGTATATTTATTCCATTTATTCCTGTGGGGCTCTTTAGTCAAGAAGATTATAGGATTTTTTTCTATAATATATCAATGGGCTACCATTTGTATATCAATGGATTTTCCCTGATGATGAGGTACATTTTTATTTAATACTGTTTTAATAATTACTGTTTAATACCTTAAAACAACAATATAACTACATATTTCGAACAATAAATATGAAATTCTAAATTAATATTTATAATTATTTTACATAGGGGTAACATATCATATCGGCGGCAAAGGGTCACTGAACTCAAGGAGCAAATCAAAGAAGGCAACACTTATATCATTTTTACCATTGGTTAAGCTGCTATCACACTTGTTATAAGTACACTTCACACTTCAAGTGGGCTTTAATTTTGGAATTTCACAAGTTTCATACTTTCATAATTTCAATTGTATATATTAAGAGTATGCAATTGAAAAGAAACAATATAATGAGTTACTGTGTACAAAATATGCAAATTTGAAACATTAAATATTTAGCAATTTATTTGAAGTATTTTTATAGTTTGGTAGTATTTAACGTGAAAAGAGAATGAAATAATGATAAATTTAGGTGAAGATAATCATACCTAGTTTTTTGGATGAGCAAACACCTGCATTTCCTGTTCTAAACTAACTTAAAATTAAAATTTACTGTCCAGGGACCTACAAATTTTGTTGTATATTTTGTAAAGTATATTAAAATGAAGGAAAAACATAGTCAACCTTGATAAATGTGACCTGCAATTAAAAGGGAATAACATGTTAAAATATACTCTGTATTTAGGCATTAAAATGCAATAATTTATAGGCTAAAGATCCTTTAACCTTTTTAAAATGCACAACGTTGGGTCAGTTTTTAACCCACTGTCCCACTATATAAAGAACAAAGACCAATGTTGTTAAAACGATGCAAGTCATTAACATGATTACTTTTTAATATCCCGCGCAATGCGCGGGTGAGATTCTAGTATTCACAGAGATGAAACGGAAGAGGAGGGAGTGAAACTTTGATGGGGAGACCTAGCAAACGAAGGATGGCCAGAACGTATTGTACCTCACCAGATATATTGTGTACAGTGTGTGTGAGGATTAGTCGTCAAAAATTGACAATAAAAAATAGAAAGTCGTCAAAGAATTAATAATTGTAAGAGTAATAGTATAAATGCTACCGGATTTGAGAATAATCGTCCGCAGATTGTGCATCTTTTAGATCTCTGCCTTCGTTTACCACTCTGCAAAATTCGGTTGCATACACATCAATCAATACAAGAGAAGAAACAATATTCAATTAAAAAGGGAAATTTGTATTAGATAAACAACAAATATAATAAGCTATGTAGATAAGTGTATGTTGACAGGGACGAAACGAAAATGGGCGAGATGTGAAATTAAGCTATATAGAAGCGGACACGGACGCTAGGAGACGAAGGATGTCAAGGTTTAGAAGCAAATTTGAAATTGACTGTATATATACTCACCAATGTTTATTGACAAACTTTGCCATACTCACTATGAAACAAAATATGTAGTCTAATAAGAGCATCTCTCAAAAGAATTCATGTTTAAGTCCTGATCTGAGGAGATAAGTTATAAACCTTCAGTCAAAGAAGTACTCCATATGGTAGATTAATTATTATATATAGTGGATAACACATAAAAGAAGAATGACATATAAGTTATTAGTTATAAAAAACCAAATCAGTTCAATTGGTGTTTATTATTTGAGGTGGCAACCTTTTTTAAAAAATAGTTCAATAAGCTCAGTGTATAAACTTAGGGGGAGACAAGAGATTAATACCAAAACTAGAGTAAAACTGTGATAAATTTATTTTGGTTTGAAAATCAAAATAAATTTTAAAACAAAACCAAGCATGCAGTTTTTATTGTTGAAATTCGAAACTTTATTAAAGAGGGTTTTTAAAACTAAAACCAGTCAAATATAATTGAGTATTTAAATATAATCTATTTAACAAAAACAGTTAAATAAACACAATTATTCTAAGCATGTTGTGTAACAACTATTATAACAACGGAGTGGTTTTAAAAACATACGTAGTAATATTTTTAAAACCCAGCCCATTATACATTGTAATAGGTGTATCTAATATTTTAATAATTTCTATTAATTAACAATTATAAAATAACATACCTCTTGGTCATAGATCTAGACTGATCTGTTATATCATCGCGAATCTGTTAATAAAATTGAGATTGATAGATGACTAAAACAAAAATAGTTGTTCCTTGGTATGTGATAAATAACAGATTTTGTAATCACACGGATGCATCACCTTATTATTATTAGTATAACACCGCAACAGAGTACTTTACTAAAACATGTGTGGTAATCAAAGAGATTTGAAAAACAATATTTATTCAATAAATAGCACAGTATCTAATATGCTACGTATTAGATTTTAAAAAAGAAGAATAGGCACGTGTATATATTCAATATGCCGATGGGTGTTTTTAAAACCAAAATCAGTAACATATAGAGCTATGATTTAAGCTTCTATGGAAAACGATTCATATATAACATAATATATATAATATAAAATAAAAATTAATTACAGAGTACTTTGATATGAAAGCTCGGGTAGATAATAGATTTTTAAAGCTTGAGTAGATACTTCGTATTAGATTTTTAATTACGGACGACATAAAACATATCTGAAATTATTCATACCATTGTTTTGAAATTCGTTAAGCACATGACCATAAAAAAAATAAGACATATCTGAAATTAAGCAAGATTCGTAACACACAATGATGAATCTACTTAGATATATTATATCAGAGAAGTTATGTTTCAATATTATAAAAAAAACTGAGACTTATAGATTACTTTAAGAAGAAAAACTGAAACTGTGCTTCATAAATATACCGCAAACAAAGTCGGCCATATGACGAAAATAGTTTGCAAAGGCCGGCCTCAACCGGAATACGCAGATACTCTGGCGACAAAGATAAGGCCGAAGGACGCCAACTCATTCAGGAAAACCGATGTCAATTTCGGCATGAGATGAAAAATCAGGCATGCAAAGAAGAGAGGAGTTTTCGATTTAACCGATTGCTCTAAACAAATGTGCGGCTAATGGCGAGTCCTTAGCGAAATAAGGGGTTATATATTTAGGGTTTGGTGGAGTGGCTGGGTTGACATGGGCTTCTTTGGATCAAAAGTAGATGGACTGGGTCCAAAATTTAAAAGTCTGCTTTCCATTTACGGGTGTTCTTAATAAATGGAGTGGCTAGGTTGAAATGAGCTGAATACAACTAATTGGACCGAATCACAAATGTAGTTTGTAAGGAAGTTTTTTGCAATGTCTAGATTGTAAAATCAAATGGGATAAGGGTCAGTTTGGTTCTTGAAGTTGCAAAAAAGGGGTCAAATAAGTGGAATTTTTTGATGAAATTTTTTGATCATCTTATTTATTAAGTCTAGTTTACTCATACCAAATTTCAGATAAAAATTCAATCGGGAAGACATTCAAATGAATTCTTGAAGATAATTGTGCCGTTAAAAGCGCTGTTATCTTCAAGAATTCATTTGAATGTCTTCCCGATTGAATTTTTAACTGAAATTTGGTATGAGTAAACTAGACTTAATGAATAAGATGCTCAAAAAAATTATCACAAAATTCCACCGGGAGCCACCTCAAATGGCACGTCCGGACAGAATCTTCTATATAAGGACTTATTTGACGCCTTTTTTGCAACTTCGAGGACTAAACTGACCCTTTACTCAAAATCAAATTTAGCGTTTGCTTTTTTCTACTAATTGCAAAACATACTTAATACTTATATCTGAATTTTCACTATTCGAACTTTATTTATAAATTATTATGCATGTTACGTACGGAGTATATGATAATTTACTTTCATTTCACACAACCTAATAACATTTAAAAAAATTGTGGTAACATGATTATTTTTTAATATCCCGCGCATCGCGCGGGTGAGATTATAGTATTCACAGAGATGAAACGGAAGAGGAGGGGGTGAAACTTTGATGGGGAGACCTAGCAAACGAAGGATGGCCAGAACGTATTGTACCTCACCAGATATATTGTGTACAGTGTGTGTGAGGATTAGTCGTCAAAAATTGACAATAAAAAATAGAAAGTCGTCAAAGAATTAATAATTGTAAGAGTAATAGTATAAATGCTACCGGATTTGAGAATAATCGTCCGCAGATTGTGCATCTTTTAGATCTCTGCCTTCGTTTACCACTCTGCAAAATTCGGTTGCATACACATCAATCAATACAAGAGAAGAAACAATATTCAATTAAAAAGGGAAATTTGTATTAGATAAACAACAAATATAATAAGCTATGTAGATAAGTGTATGTTGACAGGGACGAAACGAAAATGGGCGAGATGTGAAATTAAGCTATATAGAAGCGGACACGGACGCTAGGAGACGAAGGATGTCAAGGTTTAGAAGCAAATTTGAAATTGACTGTATATATACTCACCAATGTTTATTGACAAACTTTGCCATACTCACTATGAAACAAAATATGTAGTCTAATAAGAGCATCTCTCAAAAGAATTCATGTTTAAGTCCTGATCTGAGGAGATAAGTTATAAACCTTCAGTCAAAGAAGTACTCCATATGGTAGATTAATTATTATATATAGTGGATAACACATAAAAGAAGAATGACATATAAGTTATTAGTTATAAAAAACCAAATCAGTTCAATTGGTGTTTATTATTTGAGGTGGCAACCTTTTTTAAAAAATAGTTCAATAAGCTCAGTGTATAAACTTAGGGGGAGATGTGAAATTAAGCTATATAGAAGCGGACACGGACGCTAGGAGACGAAGGATGTCAAGGTTTTGGTTCCTAGCAGACGATGAGTTGTGCGAGGATAGATGGTGAAGTGTAGTACACTCTGGAGAGTTCCAGAGCTGCTGTGTGGTAGAGTGAGAGTGAAGTGATGATGTATAGATATCTTCATGCGTAGTACTAAACCTAGGATTATAGATGGGCTGATTTTATATGGGCTATTGATTGACAATTGGATAGAGTCCAATTTTATGTTTTGAATAGAAATGGACCATTAATTTCCAATTACATTCACACATATCCTATCCAATTGAATTGAATGAACCTTTAATTTGAATTAATTTAGAAATAATTAGACCAAAATAAAGATGGCTTTCAAAAATATGACTAGTTACTAGAGTAGTAATGAAATCATAGTAATTCATGTTCCAGTTTTGAACTTAAGTTACCACAATACTACGTTGTAGTAATGAACAATCATATTTATGTAAATGAGTTTTATTCTAGTAATATTCTTATAAAAACCCGGGATCTGAATGAATTCTTCAAATACGAAAAGTGTTTATAGAATTATTTTAGTCAATAAGAAAGATTATAAATGCATTTGTAGTCAAGAAGAAATATCGCTCTTATTCCCATTTGTAGAGCATGTTTTTCGCCTTATCGGCCAATTTTTTTTAGACACATAATTTTTTATTTCGTGCGTTTAATTGTGTAATAATAAGAAAAAGTAATGTTGGAGTTTCTTTTCTGGCTGTATGGGCTGAAGTTAATATAAACTGCAATTTTTGCTATTTTTTCATACAATTTTTTCTTTATTTTATCAATGAAATATATTTTGAATATGATTTTTACATGAATCAGCAGAATCAGTCAATTCAGTCATTTCAACTAGAACTTCATATGCTTAAAAAAATTAGAGCTTCATAAATTTCAGCTGAATCAGCCGATTTTGATACACCAAACAAGCTTTAAATATCGTATATCCAGAAATTTGCCATAATGTTTAATGTCGTATATGTGTCTTAAATTATAAACAAAATACAAAAACACTTTTGTCATGTGCATCGCACGGGTACAATACTAATTCTACTAATAAAAATTCCAATTTGAATATGCAATTAACAACAGTTTAGTTATAATTTTTTCAAAAAAACAGGGAATGTTATACGTTTTATAATAAAGCACATTTAATATTTATATTTTCAAGTTGTAAATGCGTTCTTTCATGTTTTGCATTATATTTCATATAATTTTAATATATGATTTTTTCTTGCAAAAAACAAACTAAAAATGTGTGTAATCAAATTATATACTGATAGAGATAAATCCTAATTCTAATATTTATCTCTTTGTAACTAACTATAATTATCTCCTTATTTTCATTTAAATGTTTAGCTTTATCCTTTAGTTAGTTACAGACTACTTGTACGTGTATATATACTCCATGTATATCACAACAGTAATACAATTTAATTATCAATCTTATATGGTATCAGACTCTCGATCCCACATCTCTCTCTGCTATTTCACCTGCTTTCACCTATAATGCCGTCTGCTTCAATGGATGACGCCGAAAATGATTCTGAGCACATCTCTTCTCAGATTCATATTCCCAATTCATCTGAACCTAATAAACCTCTCATTTCTATTAATCTTGGTAATGTGATCAAGCTCACTCCCACAAATTATATTTCTTGGCAACTCCAAATTCAGTCTATTCTGACTGGATACAATCTAGAAGGTTATCTTGATGGCACATCTCCCTGCCCATCTCCTCGTATCACTACTGAAGGCTCTACCACCTCCGCCCCAAATCCGGCCTATACTTCATGGATCCGGCAAGACAAGCTCCTTTTTGGTGCGTTAATTGGCACTCTCACCCCTGCTGTGATTCCTCTTATCACCCGTGCTACTACTACTAAGGCTGCCTGGGACACTCTGGCTTCAGTTTACGCTCAACCGTCTCGAGGCCATATCAAACAACTCAAATCTCAACTCAGGAAATACACTAAGGGATCCAAGACCATCACTGAGTATATGCACTTTATTAAAAATGCCGCCGATGAACTCGCTATTCTTGGTAAACCCCTTGACCATGAAGATTTCATCGATCATATTCTTAATGGCCTGGATGATGGATATAAGTCTGTTATTGACGCCGTTGAAGGACGAGAAACGTGCATTACGTTTACCGAGCTACATGAAAAACTTATTAATCGGGAACTTAAACTACTTCAAGAATCGGAGCCTACACCAACACCGGTCACCGCTAACATCGCCCGTGAACCCCCCTCTGGTTTACGTGGCCGTGGCGGACGAAGTCAATATTCTGGCCGTGGCTCCTCTTCGGGTCGTGGGTCTAATCCCAGCCCCTCATCTCGTCCTTATCTTGGTATTTGTCAAGCCTGCCGCACTCAGGGACATACGGCACGCAATTGTCCTCTGTTTCGTCTAATGGCAGCATCCTCTTCGTCTCCTGGCAGCATTCCTCCAACCTCTTGGTCTCATCAGGATCCTTCCACCTCCTGGCAACAACAACCTCGTCCTCCTTGGCAATCTGCTCAAGCACATGCGGCTTTGGGTCCCGGTATTCTAGGATCAGCCCCTTCTTCTCCGTGGCTTTTTGATAGTGGCGCCACACACCATCTTACATCTGATCTTGCCAATCTCTCGCTCCATACTCCTTACACCGGCACAGATGAAGTTATTGTTGGAAATGGTAATAGCCTTCCTATTACATCTACAGGTTCTGGTATTTTATCTTCTCCTACTCACTCCTTTCATCTTAAGAACCTCTTATGTGTTCCTAATATTCACAAAAATCTTATCTCTGTCTCTCAATTTTGTTGTCACAATAATGTGTCAGTTGAGTTCTCACCATCTTCTTTTTGTGTCAAGGATTTAATCACGGGGGCACCACTCCTACACGGTCCAGCTAAAGATGGCCTCTATGAATGGCCCTCTTGTTCCAGCCCGTCCGTTCAAGCACTCTCTAGTGTCCACGTGTCTCCCCTGCAATGGCACTCTCGTCTTGGTCACCCTTCCTCGGCCATTTTTCGTTATCTTTTATCTAAGTTACAATTAAATAATGTCTCCTGTTCTTTTAATTGTGATGCATGTCAATGTAATAAGAGTCATAAACTCCCATTTAGTACTTCCTCTCTTAAGTCTACTCATCCATTAGAAATCATTTTTTCAGATGTATGGATCTCACCTGTGGTTTCTTTTGATGGATTTAAATATTATGTCATCTTCATTGATCATTTTACTAAATATATATGGCTATATCCTATGCGAAAAAAATCTGATGTTTACACCATATTTCTAGCTTATCGACCTCTTGTTGAAAACCAATTTAATTCAAAAATTAAAACTTTTTTTTCTGACAATGGTGGAGAATTTAAATCCCTTACTACCTACCTCACCCAAAACGGCATAGCCCATTTAACTTCCCCACCACACACTCCCGAACACAATGGTTATGCTGAACGCCGACATCGCCATATCATCGAATCTGGCTTAACACTTCTTCACCAGGCCTCCTTACCTCCTGAATATTGGTCTTTTGCCTTACCCACTGCTGTCTATCTTATCAATCGCCTACCTACTCCCACACTAAATTATCTCTCTCCTTATGAATGTTTACATCACTCGTTGCCAAATTATCAAAAACTTCGGGTTTTTGGGTGTTTATGCTATCCTTGGATTCGTCCATATAATCAACACAAATTACAAGCCCGGGCGGTACCTTGCATTTTTCTTGGCTACTCCCTCACCCAAAGTGCTTATATCTGCCTTGACCCCACTACACACAGACTTTATATCTCCCGACATGTCACTTTTGTTGAAAATACTTTTCCGCATGCTCAACCATTTTTGCATGCAAAATCTCCCGACATATCTCCCATTTTTGCAGCCCCACTCTCTATCTGTCAGATTGTGATTATAGTCCAATTTACATCCTCTCATCGTGCTGTCCGGTCGGTGTTGGGGGGCCCTTAGGGATGGGGTGTCATCCTTTTTTGCAAAATCTCATTCTGGGCATACCACTCCTTCCCACACTTCTTGGACTAATCCTCATATTATTATTAGCCCTCCCTCTTCTCCCTTTACACGTGTCTCTACCTCACTGCCTCCAAATATTACTCCTACATCACCACCTAATGCCCCTACACCTCTATCCTTATCTCCACCCAACAACCATACTTCACACTTGGAGCATTCCCCACATACCAACCTGCAGCAGTCCACTAACCCACAATTCTCCACCACGTCAGATCCTCCTTCACACCTTATTCCCTCTACTTTTAGTCCGACTTCATTCCCTTCTCCAGACACCCTTCTGCCTCCATCCGTATCCCAACCAGTGTCACCTCCACGTCGAGTCATTACCAGGTCCATGAATAATATACATCGTCCCGTAAATAAACTTACCCTCACTACACATATTTCTTCACCCGCACCAGAACCTTGTACTGTAAAGGAGGCTTTATCTCATCCTCATTGGCGTCATGCTATGTCGGAAGAGTTTAATGCTCTCATTCGTAATGGCACATGGACACTTGTTCCTCGCACAGGTCAAGAAAATATTGTGGGCTGTAAATGGGTATTTCCTACAAAGCGTTTGCCCAATGGTGATATTGACAAGTACAAAGCCCGTTTAGTTGCCAAGGGGTTTCATCAACGCCCAGGGGTGGACTATACAGAGACTTTTCAGTCCGGTTATAAAACCAACTACCATTCGGATGGTTCTCTCTTTGGCAGTAAGTCGTGGTTGGCCTCTTCGCCAAGTTGATGTTAACAATGCTTTTTTGCAGGGTAAGCTTTATGATGATGTCTATATGTTGCAGCCTCCGGGGTTTGTGGATTCCACTAAACCTACTCATATATGTCGTCTTCACAAAGCCTTATATGGTCTCAAGCAAGCCCCACGAGCTTGGTACCACGAGCTTAAATCTTTTCTCAATCATCTTGGTTTTATAAATT